CAAGAGGCACAAACGTCACTGTGACACAGAGCATGAAGTCAATGTGGCGCAGAACTAGAAGTTGGTGGAGTCTAGCCTGACATCCCATCTTTGTGAGTTGGGCAATGGACATTATATATATATGTGTCTCCTTGGTAAGAAACTGTACCCATTTAAGAGTCAAATACAAACATTATTTTTTTTTTTTTTTTTTTTTTTGGTTTTGTTTTTCGAGACAGGGTTTCTCTGTGTAGCCCTGGCTGTCCTGGAACTCACTCTGTAGACCAGGTTAGCCTCGAACTCTCAAACTCAGAAATCCACCTGCCTCTGCCTCCCAAGTGCTGGGATTAAAGGCGTGCGCCACCACCGCCCGGCTACAAACATTATTTTTTAAAAAATAATTTTTATGTATTTTGGGGGGTTTTAATGTATCCCACACACACACATAATGACTACCATATTCTTAAAAAAATACTAATTTATGTGGACCTAACTCTTTAATAAACGGAACTCTCGAGATTCTACTTTTGTTTTAAACGTCTTCAAATAAAAAAGCAAAATAAATTAAAATAGCAAAATAAATTACTAGGAAGCAGAGGGTGCCGTTTCCCAAGGAAGTGCAGGTTTCAGGCACATTGGAAGCAAACATTTCTGCTCAGGTTCTGGGAGTATAAGAAGACTTGGTACCGATTATGTCGGCTTCCAAATCTTCTTCCACTTCCTCCTTCTATAGGCGCTCAGAACACCTGGGAACATTCTTTCCAGTGGCCACAGTATCCAGTCATAACCAACCATCCAAAAGCAGCTGATGTCAAAGAGTTTTAGAATCATCTTTTAAAGTCATGGCTGAACTACCAGCTCTGAAGTACTGTGTTGCATTGGCCAAGCCGTTCTCAGAAGTATTCCTCGGAGAGGCTCCGCCCACCAATCTTTCTTTCTGCCCTCAAAATCCTGTCTCCCACCCACCCTTGTGTCTCTTTGTGCTTCAAGTTGTATTAGCTTGTCTCCGTTTGCATAACAGGATACCTGAGACCACACAATTTTTTTTTTTTGGTTTTTTTTTTTTTTTTTTTTTTTTTTTGGTTTTTCGAGACAGGGTTTCTCTGTATAGCCCTGGCTGTCCTGGAACTCACTCTGTAGACCAGGCTGGCCTCGAACTCAGAAATCCGCCTGCCTCTGCCTCCCAAGTGCTGGGATTAAAGGCGTGCGCCACCACCGCCCGGGGAGACCACACAATTTATGAAGAGAAGGTTTACCTGGCTCACCGTTCTGGAGGCCGGAAGTCCAGACAGCATGGCATTGGCTCTAGTGAGGGCCTGCCAGCTACATTACGTCATGGCAGACTGCGTCATGGCGGAAAACACCAAAACAAGAAAGATCACGTGTAGAGGCAGGACGTTAGAGAAATGGGGTGGGACCAGCCTTTTTCTTTTGTAATAACTCTCTCATTGAACCAACCAGTGTCCCAGAATTGCATTAAATCCTTCCCGGGGAAGCACTCTCAAAAACCCAATTACTACCCAGGAGACACGCTCCTTAAAGTCCCACCTCTTCTACATCACCAACTGAGGACCAAGCTCCCCAAACAGGAAACTTCGGGAGACACAAAGTATATCAAGACAATTGCACACATAGAACCCATCCTGGAATGTTCTTATTGAAAACACCGCAACTGAAATGAATTTTATATTCTCTCTCTTTTTGTGTATGTGTGTGTGTGTGTGTCTGTCTGTCTGTCTGTCTCTCTGTCTCTGTCTCTCCTCTCTGTCTCTGTGTGAATGTGTGTCTGTCTCTTTGTCTCTCTTCTGTGTGTGTGTCTGTCTGTCTGTCTCCCCTCTCTATCTCTGTTGTGTCTGCCTCTTTGTCTCTCTTCTCTGTCTGTCTGTCTGTCTGTCTCCCCCTCTCTTTCCCTCCCCTGTGTGTGCTCCCCAGCTAAGTAGATTCAGAGGCACTCAAAGATCAGAGAACGTTTCCCCCTTAAATAGCTGATCCCCAAATTAACGGATTGTGCTTTGGCTCATATGGTTATAAAGGTAGGTAACATTTGCCAAATGTTCATTGCATGCCAACCACTGGACTCGATGTTTTCTGGACATTATATCATTCCGTGGGTGTACAATTTCCACCACTCTGTAAGGAGAAAATTAAGGCTCTAGGAGAAATTACTTAGGTAGTGTTGCACAGCTGGTAATTGTGGGGTGGGATTTAAACACTGGTTTAATTCATGAACCACATGCCCGTGAAGAAGCCAAATAGCATTTGCTTGAACATTTCGAGCACTGGGGAGCTCGCCTGTTGCTTTAAGCTGTATAACCCTTGACCAGAGAAGGGAGATGTTGCCAGCCATCTGGGACCAGAGCTCTGAGCACCTGTTCTGTCCCTTATTCTCAGTGACAGGAATAAAATGGCTGAACTGTGGGCGCAAGTGACTTTCACAGATGTGTCAAAAGTTGAAGCAGGGAGAAAGGGAAGAAGGTCTTATGACCAGTCAACCGTAGAACCAGGATTTGAACACAGGTCTTCTTGTTCCAAAACACTTCCAATTTGCCAGTTCTCACATGACTCAGACAGATGAGTAATGTCAGAGTAACACCACTGTCTTAGTTAGGGTTTTACTGCTGTGAACAGACACCATGACCAAGGCAACTCTTATGAAAGACCACATTTAATTGGGGCTGGTTTATAGTTTCAGAGGTTCAGTATCTTTAAGGAGGGAACATGGCCTCGTCTAGGCAAACATGGTCCAGGAGGAGCTGAGAGTTCTACACCGTCATCTGAAAGCTGCTAGCAGAATACTTACTTCCAGGCAGCTAGATGGAGGGTCTTAAAGTCCATACCCACAGTGACACACCTACTCCAACATGGCCACACCTGCTCCAACAAGGCCAAACCTACTCCAACAGGGCCACACCTGCTCCAACAGGGTCACACCCACTCCAATAAGGCCACACCTACTCCAACAAGGCCACACCTACTCCAACAAGGCCACGCCTACTCCAACAAGACCACGCCCTCTAATAGTGCCACTCCCTGGGCCAAGCATATACAAAACAAACTCACTTAGCACTTCCTTTATGCTAGTCCCTTCAGTGTCAACCTCAACCCAAACAATTATTATTACTGAGGCTGCTCAGGGACCAAGCTGCTTTGATGACAGAGCCTGGGCCATTTTTGCGTCACTATCCATGGTACCCAGGTCATTGAATCAGCCAAATGAATGAACAAACACAGCATGGTCCCAAGGCTGGAGCCATGGCTCCATTGTGAAGAGTGTCCACTGCTCTTTTAGTAGGCCCAGGTTTGGTTCCCAGGACCCACATGGGGCAGCTCACAACTTTCTGTAACTCCAGCTCCAGGGCAGATATGACGCCCTCTCCTGGCCTCTGTGAGTACTGCACTCAAGTGTACACACACACATACACATCAGCACACTCACATGTAATCTTCAAAGAAAACGTTTGCATTCACAGTAGAGGTTTTATTCTGCCACGAAATTACTCAGTTTCAAGGAAAATGGATAGAAATGGGAATTATAACGTTAGGTGAAATAAGGCAGACTCAAAAAAAAGAAAGGAATTTCTTGTTTTCTTTTATATTTTGGAATCTAGGGGGAGAAAGTGCAGGCATGTGGGAGGGAGGGGAACGAGGCATAAGAAGGAGCTGAGCACAAACCATCCTCCTGTTCCTCCAGATCATGCTGGCTCCATCTCACACGAGACCCACTATGTCCTATAACCTGCTCTTCCTCTGCTCTGCTAGGCTCAACAGTTCCTATGCTGCCCTGCGTTCTCAGGCCCAGCCCGGCCCTCTAAACAGGGCTTTGTTTATCTGCATCCTTCAGAAAACACTCTGTGGTTGCTGAATGCTTTGCACAGAGAAAGCAGGCAGACCCAGACTTCCTGTGGAGAGGAAGGTCAGATTCAGTCTGCAGACAATGGAAACAAAATAACAGTCAGAGGCTGGCAGTTTCAATGCTGTCGAGAGGGAGAGCCATCCTGCAGTGGGAGGGGGCAGGAAGGAAGATGGACCCATGGTGGGACCATAACCCTCACAGCTCAAGGTTTGGAACACAAACGGATTGAGATGGAATAAAGTACAGCCAAGGGGAAGGCATATGAATCAAAATATATGGGTTAAATTGCTGCAGGCTGGCACAGAGAAGGTAATCAATAAATATTAGTCAGTGTTAACATCTGCTCCGCTGTGAGCCCAGAGCAGGGAGAACACCCGATTCCTCCCAGAGTCAGAACCTACCGACAGGCGCCTCTGTACCTGGGCTACCGGCATGTGTTATTTCTTCAATCTTTAGCTGCCAGTGGTAATTCTGCAGCCTCCCCCGACCCCCATCCCGTTTTAAAGACCAGGAAGTTCCAAATTCACAGTTAGGTTTCTCTCCTCAGTGGGTGGGTAAAACCTTGGGGTTTAGAATCAGTTTGGGGCTGGGATGTCAGGCAGTTCAGAGATGTTGAATTGTAAGACAGACAAACATCACATCGTATGTTGTAGGCTCCAGATAAATGTCACACGCACACACGTGTACTCATACTCGTAAATACATATAAATGGGCGTGTGCATAAAACTCTATCTGTATGTGGCTTTGAAGGACCTGTAGGAGTTTTTCAGGCGGGAAGAACAATAGGCACCTGAGGCTGAAAATTGCAGAGCTGACAGGCACACTTGTGAGGGTTTAATCTAAAGCCTGAGAAAAGGCTCTTGGCTATCAGCAACAGGTGAAACCGACTTTGAAAAGAAGGAAACCGTATAGGCGAGTAGAGAGAAGACTGGAATCCTCCGGCCTGAGCAGAAAAATGTAAACACCTCCTCAACTCCACCGCCGAAAAAAAGTTTGGACAATGTGGCTCCCTGGCCAGCCATCAGCTCAGAGCCCGGGTTTCCAGCAACCCAGAAGACTTGGGGCCCAAGGCTCCACCAATCCCGGCCGAGGAGGAAGTAACAGCGCGCCTTAGCGTACGGTTGCCAGGTAACCGAGCGTGCCCTACCTGGCAGTTTTAAGCCCCAAGGCTGAGCCCCATGGTGGGGCTCGCCTTACTCCCTCGTCTCGCTGGTCGAGGGTGGGGCTTTTATCTATAGAGTTTTATTTTTTTTTCAGTTTACATTTTATTTTGCTTATAGGAGAAACATATCTCCTCCTTTAAAGGAGGGAAAAGTTATAAAACTGATTTTGTGTGAGTAAACAGTCTCAGGTTTGCCTGCTCCTGTCTAGCAAGACTTCTTTACCCAGATGCCGAGCTTTGCAACAAGCCCTCGAGAAAAACCTCTTCTCAGTCTCTGGACTTGGGATTTGGGGGGCCTGGGAGAACTTCCTGGACCGTTTCACACCAGTGAGTGTTGAAGGCAAGATTCCGGAAAAAGCAACAAAAAAGCCTTTCAGTGGAGTCACCGGCTTAAAGACTGAAGATTTTTTTTTCCCAAGATGACCAAAGTACCAGCCACCAAAAAATTACAAAGAATCCCCAGCAAGAAAGCCCTATGGCTCTTTTCCGGCTCAGATCAACTGACCCAGGTAAGTCACCATCTCTCTGCTAAATAAGGACAACGATTATGTGGTTCAGGCCCGCCCAGCCTGGGGCACGGGGCACGGGGCGCGGGGCACGGGACGGTCGAGGGCCTAGGTATAATGAACCTGTCCAGACATCCCCGTTGCTCTCAATGGTTGGCTTCTCACAGAGAATGAAAACACGGGTCAGAGCTGCGAGCTATCCATTAGCGGTAATTCCAAACTGATGGACTAAATTGATAGAGACACTGTGGAAAGTAGGGGAGAAATGAAGATGAACGATAGACTAGCATCCCAGAACTTCCAGAGAACTACTGGGCTGGAGAGACAAGCCCTTCCTATGACTCTGTGGAGAGGTTGGTTGCAAGGGTGTCACGTTTTGGGGGTGGGGATGATGACGTTGCAGGTTAGGCTGGCTGTTGGCCACTGTCAGGCAAGTTTCTCCACCCCAGTCTTTCTTTTTCCCTGATGAGATCGAGATAGGCCAAAATAGTAGAAAGAGTAGTAAGAGACTCAAGCATGGAGGCTGTCTACTTGTTTGTGTATAAGTGGGTAGGAGACATTTGATTGTGTCCTTGGTACCGACTTGGGTCCAGGGTTTCTAGATGCAAATGTCATTACTGGGATGGATGATGTTTTAAGTACATTTAACTTTGACGTCTTCGAAGTCTTACTCCACCATGGTTAGCCAAGAGAGGGACAGTGGGGATGCCAGCTGCTCCACCCACTGGGATTCGGGAAAGCTCCTGGAGGACTTTTTTTTTAAAGATTTATTTATTTATTATATATGAATACACTGTAGCTGTCTTCAGACACACCAGAAGAGTATGCATCTGATCCCATTACAGATGGTTGTGAGCCACCATGTGGTTGGTGGGATTTGAACTCAGGACCTCTGGAAGTGCAGTCAGTGCTCTTAACCACTGAGCCATCTCTCTAGCCCCCTGGAGGACTTTTAAAACTCTCCAGTTTATACACGGCCCTGAATTGTTCCAAGGCCCTTTTGCTTTTTATGATTTTGTTGTGTTTACGAGTCTTGCCCACAAGCTTAGATGTGCACTGTACGTGCCTCATACCTGTGGAGGGCGCTGGATCCCCTGGGACTGGAATTAAGGGTGGTTATGAGCTACCGTGTGTGTGTGTGTGTGTGTGTGTGTGTGTGTGTGTGTGTGTACAAGGAATGTTACCCTAGTCTGCTGCAAGAATACAGAGTGCTCCTAACCTCTGAGCCATCTCTCCGACCCCAAGACTGCACCTCTTAAAATAGTAATGCATCTTCGTTCACCCCTCCTTGCTCTGCCCACTGGGGATGATATCCCTCTACAGAATCGAGCCTTGGGCCTCTCCTGTCATCTCTAAATACTTCACTGAGTGGGTCTGACCCAGTGTATCCCCTCTGGAACCAAACTTCCTGGCAGAGCAGGATGGGAGGGAGGGCAAGGCATGAGTTGATTGTCACCAGAGCAGGCACAGAGGACATGCCCGGCAGGACTCCTACAACATGTTCTCTGACTTATACAGGAAGTGGGTCTTAAGGAAGTGACCGCACAGTCTGAAGTATTTCGCAAAGGTAAAAAGCTTGACTTTTTCCGAAGAGTGCCTAGCTGTGCTTAGGGGCCTTATCAGACATCCCTGAATGTTCTAGAAGGTTGGTGGTGACCTTTGCCTTGCTGTCATGAAACCCGAAGATAGGGATAAAAAACAAAACAGACTTAACTTGGTCAGATCCTAAAACATCCCGAAAATATTCTAGAGGGGAAGCCTCCTCCTAATTCCATAATACAAACATGGGTAGATTCTCTAATAACCCATGTGGGGTTCAACCCCACCCTAAGGGTGACTCAGGCAAATCAGTTCCTCTCCACTCAGCAATTTTTTTTTTGAAACACATGCATCACTTTTAAATTTGTAATTATTATTATCAGTGTACATGGCCTGGGGTGAGGTCTCCGAGTACGTGAGTATTCCCAGGATTCACGGAAAGGAAATCCTCACCTACCATCTGTTTATGGGCTCTGGGAGCAGAACTCAGGCCACCAGGCTAGAGCAGCAAGCCCCTTTTACACTGCTGAGCCATCTTGCCCACCCCCATTACTTTAGGGAAAAAATAAAATAGAACCTACCAAGCTTCTCTTCCTTGATGCAGCTTATGTTTCGTGATGGGTTTGGATTTGTTTTATTCATTCATTCATTCATTCATTCATTCATTCATTCTTTTATTTTGCATCACGATAAAAGCAAGCTCCACCAGTTAATGAGGGTGACAGGACAATAAAAAACACGGAACATAGTGTGTCTCTCACCACAGAGGAAATTCACCAAGAAAGGCTCCCACCCTTAGACCACTGATTACAGAAATTAATGGGATTGTGGGGGTTACATTCAAATGGAACCCAATGCACCAGGATGGTGGTGTTTCATCTCATTAATGACTAGAGGGTTGAGGTCCTATCCCTGAGGACTCTGGAGCCTGAGGTCTAGTTCTCTCCTAAGAACTGAGCAGGTGGGCAAAGGGGATGAGATGGCAGGCAGCTCTCCTGATACTGAGCAGACTTGATGAGGAGTGTGCCCAGAGCCCTAGCTCACCCTGCACCCAGAGTGCCTGCAGTCCGAGAGGGAGGGGCAAGGGGGTTCAGAACCTCAGTCTCTCCCGCCTGAGGGACCCCAGCTAGCAGGATGACAGGCTCCACTGTGGTTCTCCTCTCTCAGCAGATGTCAGGAAACGTGGCATTGTAAAGGGCAGGTGAGAGCCAGGTGATCCCCCTCCAATCAAGGATGCCACACCCCCCGCACGGGATGGCTGATTACCCTGAAAAGGCCCTAAATTATCTAATGACCGCTCGGGATTTAATGCTGGGGCACAGCGAGGAAGGTAGGCAGCCCCCATGTGCCAGGCAAGACTTGGGCCAGAAAAATAGCAGGGAGCCTTTTCTTTCTCCAAGGGGGACCTATGGTGACTGCACAAAGCAATTGCAATTTACTGGCTTATTTTGTGTTTTTCTTTCTTCCTTTCTACTTTCCTTCCCTCCCTCCTTTTCCCCATTTGTCTCTGTCTCAGTTTCTTTCTCTTTCTCCCCCCTCCTTTGCGCTCTCTCTCTCTCTCTCTCTCTCTCTCTCTATCTCTATCTCTATCTCTATCTCTCTCTCTCTCTGCCTTAACACTCTCTGTGATCAGTCAGGAGGCAGAAAGGAGCTGGCTCGTTTCCTCCTGAGGAAGGAGAGGCATGCTCTACAGAGGACCAGAATAAGGCAGTGTGAGGAGGGGGCTGTGGGAGGAGGGAGAAAGACAGAATAGAAAGTCTTCCTCCTGTAGTGTAAGCTGTAGAGACCTAGGGGGGAGCTCTGCCTTTGAAGTCCATCCCCCTTTGGACCTGTCCAAGGTGAGAATCTGTGAACCTGGTTGAGTGGAATTGGGGTCCATGAGGTAGAGTAAAATAGATGCCTCAGAGGTGCTGAGACAGTCTCAGGTCTATAGGCTTGGGTTCTCTCTCTCTTCTCTGGCTGGCCTCCAATCTGAAGCAATACCCACCACCAGCTCAAGGCCTAGAAGAGTCTAAGAACTCACAGTAGAGTGTGCCCCATCACAAGCAAGGCCAGATCCCAGCTCGGGGAGAGGCCAGAGAATGCAGCAGGTCTGGGGCCCATTTTCACTTGCTTAGGAGCTAAGACACCTTTGAGAAGTTCACCCTGGTGGCAGAAATTCTGACCCAGCTTGAACCTTTCGGTTGTAGAGAAGGGAATAGCCCTGGAGGATGGCTCAGGCTTGTAATTCCAACTACTTGGAGGCTCTGGCTGAAGAGATCATGAATTTGAGACCAACCTAGGCTATAGAACCAGACTGTCTCAAAATAATTACTTTAATGAATTAGTTCATTAAAAAGAGGGTACCCATGAGCATAGTTCAGGTCCCTTGGACTTAGTCCTCAGTCTGGTCCCATCAGTCACACGGAAATCCTGTGGACAGCCACAAGTTATCAAGAAAAACCAAAGGAGACCGCCATGTATTGATTCGGACCACTGCAGGCTACAAGCACAAAAAACCAACACCCTGGTGACATAAACATGAATTTGCTTCTCTCATGGTAAGAAGTCTGGAGGCAGGCGGTTTCTGTATCAATTCAATGGCTCTGGAATGCGGTGACCTCTTCTCTTGGTTACAAAATGACTACCCCAACTCCAGGTCACGCAACCAAGAGCCCTATGTGCCCCTTGGATGAAACAAGCATCCCCCTCTGTCTCATCTGCCAGGATAGTGTTGCCATTCTTTTTTTTTTTTTTTGCTTTGTGTAAGAGCTGCTGGGAAGGTTTCACAAACCCCGATGCAGAAAGCAGGGCAGGAGGCAGATGGCTGTGCTGGAGATGGCATTGGGTTGACAGATCATTAGCGACTGACAGAAGTAAGCTCATAAAACCTCCAGCACTCGGACTTCTTAGACACACGCTGACAGATGGGTCTTAAAAAGAAAGTCATCCTTGTCCTAGCCTACTGGCTCTCAACCTTCCTAGCGCAACGGCCCTTTAACACAGTTCCTCATGTCGAGGTGATCCCCCCCCCAGCCATAACACTAACTCATTGCTACTTACTAACTGCAGTTCTGCTACTATATTGAGTCATAATGTAAGTGGTTTGGGAGACACATGGTTTGTCAAAGGGGTCCCGACCCACAGGTTGAGAACCAGTATCCCAGCCCCACCCAATGACTATGGCTGCAGTTGCCCACAGTGGTACCCTAGGAAAGCCATCTGAGAGACCAGGGTGATCTTCAGTCTTGGTTGTCACGGCAAGTGTGAGCACATTTCCAGGGGATGAACTCTCGTGCGTGTGTGTGTGTGTGTGTGTGTGTGTGTGTAGCACAAAAGGGAGAAAAACCACCCAAGTGTGAAGTTCTGTTTCTCTTGGCTTCCCAGTCATCATGGCGGCCGAGAACACACTCTCCCCACTGTGAGTCACAAAAGCTTTCCCTTTCAAGCCCTCTCCTTCAGACACTGCAGGGCAGGGTGACTGA